TATATATGGGCTCGATGATTATGTATTATGTAACTACGAATTGTACTGTCCTGTATACTTGCGTATGGTTCATCATACCGGTCACTATACACCAGGGATACGACAAGATATGGAAACGCCCCAAAGGACAGAACGTAACTGCTCAGGCACAGGGGCATGATCCAGTGGCTCATTTCTGCAAAAGTGATGTAGCCAGTGTCTCGCTGGCAAAGGATGATGGATCAGTTCAAGAGCGTGTGATGTTTTTTGCACGCTGAGTCTGAGTATTTTTGCGATGAGACGCGTTTTTGAAAGGATCGGTTCAACGGCATGCGAATTCTAGTGGTGGAAGAGTCACAGCCCTTTCAACGTTTGTCAAAATTTGGCGCTACCAAAGCAAAGAGTTCTTGACAGCAGAGGACCGCGTGTTATCACTGTCTTTTTCCCAGGAATAGTGGAAGATCGGGCTTCTTCGTTTCTAAGTGTCGTAGGTTCCCGATGTTTTTTTCTGACGTCCAGGACCTTTTGCAGATCCAGGGCTTTGACATCGCAAAGATGAATTTGGGCGGTCCTACTGATACCCAATTTTCGTATGGCGAGGTGAATCTTTTGGCAGGCCTGCCTTCCTATTATATATATATATGGTTCTCTCTATTCTATCACTACTTATCACTATAACATATCGTCGTGTTCGAACGAATTCCTTTTCAGGAGATGCTTGGACGGTTCCGGTAGCAGGAGCGGTGCTGTTTGGCATGGTGGCATGTCTCTTCAAAACAAGCACGGGCTCTCCAATGCGACCGCTACAGAATGACCCTGCTGCCTGTCTCAGCTCTCCTTTGTTGAGGCTTGCCCATGCACACGCGGCAGCTGAAGATCTGGGCCAGGATACCATCCGTTCTGAACCAGACCCCGTACTGAATGGTGAGTGGTCAGTTCTAAATTCAACTGACTCCGACTCTGACACGTCAGAGGCAATAGTTGTGGAACCTGATTTCGATGGTAGCCGGGCTGTTACCAGAGTGCATGTGGAGTGGATTATGGGACCTGATCTGGCCGGGGACTGCCACGCATGCGGTTGGCCAATGAAGGTGGGAGATTGCCAAAAGCGCAAGAAAACTGAGCCAAAGGGTAAATCCGTGCCCAAGAAGAGAGCGGGCAAGTAGGATGTATCAAGTTCGTTTTGGCCATGAAGAGGTGACCAGTTAGAGTCCTCGTTCTGATTGTTGTTTTCGGATTGGAACAAAGACTGGACTACAAGTAGTCTGACAGTCTGTGGGATTTGGTCCATAGGCAGCGGGTTCAGAAATCGAGCGATGTGCCAGAGAAAAGACTAACATTTGATGATGCAGCAGGGACATTGCAAAGAGGAGGCGGCGTTTAAGGGTGATTCCATGTACATGTATATTTAATTTTATATATAGTTCCAAAGGTAGTTATATATAGTTCCAGACAATTTATATATAGTTCCAGATAGTGCGTGGGTCCTCGCAGACAAAGAGGCCCACGCACCCAACAATATATGCCGGTGTCATTGCAACAACTTCACTACCAGGTAATGGGATTGAAATCCGCCTAGGCTCAAGAGCGCCATCACCTGGTTCAAGTGGTTCATGTTTATCACTTGATGGTCCTTTTGATGCTTTAGGAATTTCTACAAGTTCACCTTCTGGCCTCTCAGGTGGTTCTGAGGGAGCATACTCCTCAAGATCATCACCCTTTAAATCATTCTGAGGCTCAGATGGTTTTGACTTGTGTCCCTTCCAAAATGGATCAAAACCCTTGGAAGTATACCGAAACTTTGGCGGCACGGGCTTTTCCGCGGCACTTGATGGTGCACCTTCCTTCTCTGACGAGAAGCCTGGTTCCCTGTCCTTTGCAATGGGAACCTTCTCTGAGGAGGAGCGCACCACTGCATCGGGATCACCAATGCCACGGTGCTCAATGCCAGCCTTCCTGATCTTTAGATCTGGAATTTTGGCATCTGGTTTGAACTTAAAAATTGTTCTACCACGCCATTCATAGCCAATTTGTAGGTCCTTCCATTTTGCCTTGCGCCAATCATCTAGCTTCTTGATTTCTTCTCCTCCTTTCTTCTTCTTGATGATTGTCAGTCGCAAGTCTTCCAGTAAGTCAGTGCCTACAGGACAGGACTTAGTTGCTGGAAAAAGAATCTTTCTATAATCCTTGTGGTGACGTATCAGTTCTCTCTTGTGAACATCTACTTCCCAGTAGTCAACCACAGGATATGCATGTTCAGCTACATCTTCATCACTATTGTGATCAACAGAAATATGACCATATTCATAGTGAGTGAAGTGAGAGTAAAAACTCTTCTCGCGCCGAGTCTGCAAATTCACGTCAGACAGATACCATGCAATATCTTGGAAGTCCAAAACAAGATGAGTACTGGCTGCAACCTTCAACTCCAAATATTTGATACCAAGAGGCACCGATGTCAGATAAGCATGTTGAGGTGTCAGCCTGAGTTCAAAGCCTAAGTTCCTCATCTGTGGCAAGCTCATAAGCAAAGGGACTTCTCCTTCTTCCACTATGTCGAACTCTGTATGGTGGATCGTCCATGCACGATCATACATGTAAATCACCAGTTTCTGAGAGCAAGTAGCCTTCTGGGAATTGGCAAAGTAAAACTTGCTCTTGGTAGACTCAAAAGAGTACCATAATCCACAATCTGGGTGATTGTCGACATAGTTGCAAAAATGGTCGACTGCTCGCCTTGATCCCATAGCTCTAGTGCATCCAATGTCCAGGATTGCAATAGTCGGCGGGAAGCGATTCTCAGTCAAAAATGAAATGGCCTGCATCTCCTTCACTTCTTCCTCAGCGCTCATAAGCGCAAAGCCATCAGGAGCCTTTGTGAGCATCTCCTTTGACAAAGAGTACCTCACAGGGGCACTCATGCCATTGAAGATCGTCTCACCATTGTTGACCGCGCAGTCAGCTTCATCTTGACATGAGGTCATCATGCCTGACAGCAAGTTCACCTCACTGTCATGGACTTCAGCTGCTGCTGTCACACAATGTGCAAAGAAACCTTGTTGACCTCCTGATGATTGTGAAGATCTTGAAGGTGCAGGCAAAGAACGTGGCTGTTGTTGATTTGCATAGTTTGCATCTTGTTTGCCATCTCCTTTATCTTTTCCTTTTCCTTTCTTGCCTTTTCTTTTGCCTTTTCCTTTTCCCTTGTGGGAAAACCATGCTTCTTCAAGCTGTTGCCAAAAGTCATTGGCATCATCATATTCTCCTTGAAGATAGTCATTCATATCTTCGGCAAGAATGGCATCATATGCTCCTTGGTTTGACTCCCAAGTGTCCTCATAAGGATTCTCTTCAAAGTATTCATCTGGAAAAGTTGTCTGTTGCTATCAGCAAAATGGCCTTTACCTCGTCTCTTTCCTTTTCCTTTTCCACGAGGTCTGAAGAATCTGCGGCCTGATCTTCCTTTACCTTTTCCTTTTCTTCTTCCTTTTCCTTTGCCTTTTCTGGCTCTTCTTCCTTGGAATCTCCTTTGGAACCACGAGAAGTTTTGATCATCATATACCCAAAAGACATCGTCCAGGGCATCTAAAAATCCTTCTGTTCCATCTTCTTCATCTTCGGCCCAATAGCCAAATGTACCATCAAGTTCTCCTTCGTCTAGTACGAGAAATGATCTTCTACCTCCAGCACCTGTCGGCTGCATCAAAGGATTGTCTACTGAAGTCTTTGTCGTGCAGAACATCTCGATGAACACTGTCCTCAACTCTGTTGTAGTGTATTGCTGCAGGACCCTGCCACGATGAGTCATCAAAGAAGTCAAAGTGTTTCGCTGGTCCTGAGACAAATCTGCAAGTGACAGCATGAGTAAGGCAATGAGATTTTCTCCTAGAGGAAATTCGTTCTGATGAAAAATCCTCATATTGCCATTGATGGTCTGCATGATTTCCTGAATCCTTTCTGCCGTTGGTGCTACTCCAGTCAACGCTGCATCTGCCTGCATCTGAGCTAGGACCTGTGGATGTGCTTGAGTGACTGGTTCTAACATGTCCATCCAACTGCTCATAAGCCTTTGGAGTAAAATCTGGAATCTTGTCATCCATTTCATCATGTCAGCTGATCCTCGATTGAAGCGCACGAATTGCATAAATCTATACAGGAATACATTGGTTGATCCTTTCACGAAATATGGTCGTAGTACTCGTTTGAAATATTCTACGCCGGCTCCTGGTGGATCATTTGCCTTCAATGCATCTCTGTCTAAAACACGCTTGTATACAGCTGCTTCTCCTTCTAATCTGTTTCTCAATGCTGGTCCTCTCTTCTCATCTTCCAGCTCGGTGATATCACACCAATCGTCTATGGCATCCTCATAGGAAAACCATGAAGTCTTTCCATCATAAGATGGGGGCACCTTTGTAGTGACCTGTGTTGTCATTGCTATTGCTGCTGGTTCTCTTCTCACATGCCTATTCACATAGGCTGCTGGCTCATAAGCCACATCCGCATCAGGCTCTTCCCAGTCGTCTATCCAATCCATGGCTGTTTGCCCACAAGCAATTCTATGCCTAGGAAAGGAGCTCACCTGGGTCTTCCAGGATCACTGCTCCGCTACCACTGAAAGAGTGACTAGGGCGTACACGGTAGAGGTGCAGACCGCTAGTGTCTTTTATGCGCAGAGTCTTATCCTCTTGCTCTTTTGAGCCTTGAAGCAGTCAAGCATGGACACACTATATCGGCTGTTGGAGTGGATCCCTGCACAGGTAGGCTCTACTTTTCAGGGGGGGGGGCGTCAGGCTGTCGAAAATCTCGCGCGGAGAGACAATACTCAAGCAATACTAACCAATACAAGCAATACTAACCAAAACAATCCACAAAACACGCCGGCAGGCCGGCGGATTCAACATGAAACAAGTCCTTCTGTTTTTGCAATTTATATTACAATATACATTTTTTATGTATATTATCATGCTGCATGATCTTCGATCCTCCACCCAGCAAAATGGCGACATCACCTGCCTGAGGACAGTGAGAATATCGGAGGGAGCCTTGGCCGATGGGGGCCAGCAGTGACAAAGGGGTGCTTAGTGGAGGTTAGGGGTGCCCATTATCCACTCACTTAGGGACTAAACACCACCCCTTTGTGACTGCTGGAATATCGAAGTTGCTTTGGCCACTGTTTTTTTGGGCACTGGCGCCATGATTCCGCCTTGGATCTCCCTGCGCCATCGTCCCAGCCATCGTCTGAAGGGCACGGTGCAGGGTTTACATGGATCCAACATTTGAAGATTTGCATGTGATTATCCGAAACATGTGGACACAGCCAAGTACGGGAAGTCCGCATTAGCATGTATCACTATCTATATAGATCTATCTATTGGGTAGTATACACTTTGGATCCGACCACCTGCGAGGTACCGGAATTCCGAGATTGGTTCAGTTCATTGCGCTGTTCACTGTGAACCAAAGGCGTTCAAAGGTGGTCATTTCATCCCAGTCTGGCTGTCCGGCCTCGTTGCCCAGCAACGTTGGTCGGTCAACGAGGCAGGCGACCGGTTGGACCTGTTTTGGTTCTTCGGCCCGACCGGACAGTGTACTGATGTGACCGGATCGATCAATTGATCGATATGCAGTCCCACCATGGCAATGGAGTGTTTGGGTTTAACAACTGGTTGCAATATATACTCCTTTGGGGATGGGGTGTCGATGTCCAACTTCAGGTACATCGGATAAAGGAATCGCACCTCATGGATAACAAGAACCTTGAAGAACCCCAAAGAAGAGCCCACGAACCGCCCGAGATGGATTCAAAAACAATGACAGATTAGAGTCCGAACATACGGTATACTGTATATGAATCACATTACTGGCCCATACTGGGGACACGTGTCGCAGATGTGTCGCAAGATGTGTCTCTGATCATCTTGCCTGACCCCCCGGCCCGCCGCACCCATCAGGCACACGGTGACCGGAGGAAATCTGTCGTCGCCCAGTGAGCGGCAAAGCTCCTTTCCTTTGCCTCCGCTGTTGCCGCTTCCCATGGAGGATCCAGTGGAGGAGCCCAACATCACCAGGCGAGAGCGAGTTTTTGGCGAAAGCGAGCGAGATTTCGCAAACTATGAAGAAGACAATGGACATGCGCGCTGGAAGAAGCATGGAAGAAGCTTAAGGAACATGAAGAAATTACTGTCTTTCGGCAGTTGGGAACTGTTTTTCCATGTTTTTGGGGTTCTCTTCTGTTTATTGGTCCTATTATAGTTGAATCGACTGCAGTAATCGAATGTCCATTCTTCCAGGTCAGCCGTCCAACGATGCTGACCTTCCCAAGTAGATTGGAATGATAGGGCGGGATATTAAGCTGTTCAGCTGGTGCGGGAGGCTCTCGGTTTCAGTGACAAGGCTGTCTACGGGTGGTACGGCTTGGGGCCACGGGCCTTAGTGAACGAAGAATGTCACAGATCTCAGGTGTGTCAGGTGCAGGATGCAAAGATCACCCTTGCTTTTGCAGATTCTTATCTTCGAGTTCGTGAATTTGTGTTCATGTTCATCCTGACCTATCACTTTGCATGTGATAGTCAAGCCCCCTACGCAGGACTTAGGAATCACCCACCTTTTTCCAGCCATTGAAGACCACTTGCCGTATCTTTTGGGGTTCGGTCAAAAGATGCTGAACACGGTTGCTTCGCGATTCCGAAAGCCTGCCTGAAGGATCACATGTCGTTGATCAAAACGATCACATGTCGCCACCAACGACCAGGTCGAACGACCTCTCAGTGAACTCCCGCAATTTGAGCCTTGGCAGACCGGTTCCGGCGGCCCGGGCGCTCGATGACTCGGGAGGAGGCGAAAAGGAAAGAGACTTGCGGCTCGGTGTTATTTAGTTTATCCCTGCAAGTCCGAAGTGCAAGTTTAACAAAGTCATCTGAGAACGATCAAGTTTTACGAGGTCATCGCGTTTGTCGGAAGAACCGCCCTTTTGTCATGACCACACTGGCGTCGCCACCAGAGCCCACATAGATCCTGCACAAATCGATGAAAAAACACTCAAAACATCTCAAAACAGTAGCCAAATTCATTAAATCACGTTACGTTACCTCCTGGTGTGATGTTGTATGTGAACCTTCACATGTTCACTGCATATTCTATAGTCCTAGCTGCGGTTCTTGGCTTAGCCGCTTGCCATCAGAAGATGCTAAAACTGCCAGTCCTTGCCATGTCATCGTCGCCACACCAGATCCATATCGATCCTGGAAAACAATTTTAGAGCAAGTCCAGTTCCATTCATGCTAGCAATGCTAGCACGGTTTTTGGCTTAGCCACTTGCCATCCAACTGCTAATTCTTGGTTCCTAGCTGCGGTTCTTGGCTTGGCCGCATGCCATCCAAATTCACAACAAGAAGATGCTGCAGAATGAGTAACCAACCTGAATGGTACTATGCAATCAGAGAGCCAAACTGTCCTGCGCATGCGTGCCTTTGCACACTTCAAGCGGAGCCTCGCAATCTTGGCCAGGAACTTTTCCATGTGTCTGCCAGAGATTGCACATGACAGCTTCTTGATCATCCCGATGGTGTCTTCTTCTGAGAAGCAATGCGAGAACCTCGAGTTCAGTCCTGAGATGCTCAAGTCCAGGGATAGAAGAACAGGTTAATTGACCCAAAAGACCACAGAAACCTCTTCCCAAAAGACCAGTGAAGCCTCCTTGAACCTGGAATTACCAGCTCAAACCTGCAAATCAAGTTCTCCTCTAGAGGAAAGACCAGTCAATGTCATCCAAAGACACACTCAGCCAAGAATCGCTCTCTCTTGGTGCGAGCCAAAACGTGGCAGAACATGTGCGCCTTTGGCTTCAAGAACCAGCACTGCAGCCCCATCCTCACAACTGACTCAACAATGGCGAAGGGACCTTGAGGTCTCAAATGGCCCTTCAGGTCTCAAGGGGCCGTTGAAGTCTTTAAGATAAAGGAAAATTCGACGCCCCCCCTCAACGGAAGTCCTGCTGGCTATTTTGAGGCAGCTGATGTGGTGGTGCAGAAAGCGCTTCCCAGCACTGTGGATGGCATCAGCCTGATCCTGCGTCCTGAGCAATCAAAGTGATCTCTGATAAGTTCTGGCATCATTGATGCCTACATGTGTGCTCTTGAATCTTTGAAGACAATGCCTACCACATCCTACCACAGTTCTTGGCTTAGCCACCTGCTATTTGGTGTGCTTGAATGGAAGTTTTTAACATCACCCAAAAAGGCCACCCAATCAGTGAAAGAACATTGGAACTGAACATGTCCTGCCACCCCCCCACCACTTCAGGCTATGGTGCAAGAACCGTCCAGATCTCTCACAAAGGCCAAACCACTCACAAAGAGCTTGCCTTGGGCAAGGAGAGAATGAGGTTGGCAACATCATCTCAGGAACAGACCGGATGGTCGAAACCCAAAGCAGGGTCTCCTGGTGCCATATGATCAACCAGCTAATTGGAACAGTCACTGGAACTTTCTCTGGCTCCATCCAAAGGTCTGTGGACCATCCCCTAGGGCTCCTGGCCCACCTCCTGAGAAGGTGGTTGGGATGGGTTTTGGGGGTCTAACCAGCCCCAGCTGGCAAATTCATTTTGAAGACTAAGTGACGAAGCCAGTGGATTCACCGCCAGCAAGGGGTCATCTGGCCACATGCGGTTGCCAGCCTGGATCTCCGCCTGAAGCCACTTGCCCAGTGTTCGGTCCTGAAGCAGGTGAGTCCAATATGGACCTGTCTAGGTGGAGGTGGTCTACCCTGACCCTGATCCAGCTGTTCATGTCCAGTGGAAATTAGCAGGGAGATCTGCATCCCTCCAGTTTTACCAAGTATCATCACCTGGACCTGGCAGGTCCCTCATGGCTGCCTTTAGGGCAGAATCGTGCAGCCACTCCAACAGCACCCTGCTGTTCCAGGCTTTCGCCACAAAGTAGGAGCCGTGACAAAGCTTGTCAACCTGGGTTTGATGCTCTGCCGTTGTCTGATGGACTCAAGTTTCCTCATAAAGACATAGGGTGACCTGTCCCATGCAGCAGAAAAATCTGTCCCTACAGGTCTAAGACCTTAAGCTTACTGTATGTTGGTCTTGCCAAAACACTATTCAATGAGGGGTCAGGTTGCCAACTTTGTCTTTCGACCTGTAGGGGTGCAAATGCAAAACAGGAACCTGCCCTGCCCTGAAGCGGCGCTGGGAGGTTCTCACCTGCAAGGCCCTCCTCCATGCAGTGAAGTCACTGAAGGCACTGAGGAGGCATTGTTCCAGTGCAGCTGGCTCACCGAAGAAGCCTCCTCGCACCAGTGTCATGAGCAGTGCCCCGTTGACCGTGAAGCAAAGCCCAAGGTTCACGCAGTGCATGGTGCATATCTGCACCATCCTGCAAGAGAACCCCTTCACCAAGACCAACGGCGAAGGGGAGCAGCTCTCATCCAGCATTGTCGCCAGGAAATCCAGAGTTGTGACCTCCGCCCCAGTCGAGTCGAAGTCCCAAAAGGGATGATCGTGCTGAAACACTGTTGCCTTGCAATGGTGGCACACGCGATTCCCAGTGAAGCTTGGCTCAAACCTCAGGATCTTGCGCAGAAAGGGCCAGTCCCCCTTGATCTCAGCCAGAGCGAACATAGTCCGAGACACTCCAACACCATGCCATGCTGCATTGAGTCGTCCAACGACATAGGCCAGCAGTGGCCAGAGCGTGAAGCATCCAGCAATGAGGTGCGTCCTGAGGCTGAATATCATGTAGTGACACACACGCACTTTCTTCGGCTTGAAGAGTGTGAGGGACAAGTACACGGCAGTGATGCTATCACCTTGTCTGTTCACTTGCACGTCGTCACCATAGAGAGAAACTGGGACATGTGCATCTGTTGCTGGATGCTGCTCATAGTGTTGCCTTTGCCTGCTCCAGTACTCTGCAGTCACATCACGTGGGCAGGTCAAGCCCACATCATCAACCAAGTATGCCAGGACCTCGCAGGGATCCAGAATTGGCACTGCAACATCTTCCAATGCACCAGACATAGCAAACTGTTGTGTCTGCACATAGTGTGTTTCCTGAGCTGCTGCTCCACTATGCATGGAAGCTGATACAATCTGTGGACATGTCACATTCCTTTAAGCATTTCCGTCAGGAAATCCTGAAGGCTTGTGACTGTACATTAATATATATTCATCACACCAGGAGGTAACGTCACGTGACTTTAGGACCAGGTAAAGCCCCCACTCAACTCGATAAAGACCTCAATTAAAGTCAGACCTAAAACTGACATGAGTCGATCCATCGCATCGATCGTTGGTTGGTTGGAAGGGTGGGGCAGGGAGTCACGGATGTCACAAAAACTTCAGGGAACCATATCAGAAGCCCTCCACAGAACTTCTATTCCAGAAGAATTGTCCAAATAATAATTTTAGCGCTAGCTACTATACCACAACACCTTGAAGATCCCCTCTCCTCTCCATCGATCGAATGGGATGGGTGGCTGGAGGATCGGAGGAGGGGTGGTCTCGCTGGTTGGGGGTCAATCACACCAACAAAATGGGATCAGGGTTGGGGTTTCCCAGAAAAATTAGGCTTTAAATAGACCATGCAGTCTGTCTAAATTAAAACATGATCGTTATCAGATGACCTCGTTAAACCTGCACTTCAGACTTGCAGGGAATGGGATCACAGCTACCTGTCCAACATGGGACTAGAATCTCCTGAACCCATATACCCCTTGGTTCGGACATCGACGACCAACGATCGACTGGGATGGGTGGAGGCGGAGGGTCATGATAGTGGTCATGATAGACCATGATTAAATGTCCAAAGACCCAGAAAAATTAAAGCTCATAATAGTGACCAGATTGACCAAGCACCCTGGCCATATACAGAGGCAACTCTCCCCTACAGGTCTAGGGACTAGAATCTCCCTGAACCCATATACCCCTCGGTCCGGACATCGACGATCGACTGGGATGGGTGGAGGGCAATGATAGTGGTCATTATGGACCCTGACCCATTCGAATTCTATTTTATTTTACGCATATCCAGTAAGGTGAGGTCATTGACCTTCAGCACAGGCCTAAAAATTACAGTATATTAGACCTGAATCCATATCCCTGGGCACTGACATCGAGGACAGATGGGTGGAGGGTCTTTAGAATGGGACCTCTTATCACTCTGTTTTTGTACTATTTGACCCAGTGAAAGGTCTTCCCATACCCCTTCGTGCGGACATCGACGATCGATTGGGATGGGTGGAGGGTCATGAGAAAAATCTATTGGCCACCCTAGGCCCTAGGCCTATAGGGGCAAACCTGCCCTAAATCGATAATTGGCTTTTAGCCATTGCACTGGAGATAAACTCAAAGGCAAACGGAAGGGTAGAAAGGGTTTTGGAAAAACCTATTCTACTAACGTCATGGAAGGCGTGTGACCTTCGTAGAACCCAAGGCTGTTCGTGGACAGTTCATGGAATGGTGGGCCAGTAGGAGAACTGACTGTAACGAAATCCCAGAAACCTTCGAGGAACTTCGTGGATCTTCGTGGAAGGTATTTTTGATGCACTAACTTCATGTATCGATTTTTGCTGACCCCCTTTCTCCACAGGGACCAACTTTCAGTGAGCCCAGGCCCCAAAAAAGGGAACAGAGGGGCAAACCTGCCCTACATAAATGCATATTACACCATGGTATCGATCGGGACTCGGTCGGATTGGGTTCGAGTCGATCGGAAGAGTCGATCCGGGGTCGGGGGGTCTGTCGGGAGTCGGTCGGTGGTTTGGGACTACTCCCAGGCAGGG